TGTTAAAAGGCGCTATATTAAATGCAAGGATTATTATTAATATTATTATTATTATCAACATATTAGAATCCCCAGCCGTCGGTTAGCAGATTGCTTCCTGGAGACCAGGCATGTCGTACTGCAAGGACACTTTACCTTCACACAATTTAGTTTTCTTTAATAAGGAATTCCGTTAAGAAATACCCCAAATTAGACCTCAAAATCACAGGAACCATTTAGTTTTGTCAAAGTAATAGGCTCATCCTAGAAGAAACATATAGTACAGAAAATGAAATGCCTGTCATTCATCAAGGAAGTCGAGAACATTTGAGGCTTTATTTTCAAGTTAATCTACAAAAGGCTTAATTAAGAGTTAAAAACAAACCCTTCTTACAGGAAAGTGGTATTAAAATTTAAGAGTGAATACGGAAGTCAAAACTACAATTGACAATCGTTTTTAACTTATTTCAGAAATTTAAAGATTTCTAAATAACTTGTGAAAAAAATTACAAGGAGATTAAACATCTTTTCATCATCTCACTCTTTGGAATATTGTGCAGATTTCTGGCTGCAATATATAGGCACAACAAATCTACCCAGCCATTTGCAATCCAGTGTTGCTAATAATAATAATAATCCTTGCATTTGATATAACACTTTTCACGTCTTCTAGACGTCTCAAAGCGCTTCACAGAATATACTGTAAAGTGAATTGACCGTATATTTGTGGGTGAAACGCAGCAGCCAATTGCACACAGCAGTGTCCCACAAACAGTCATGGATTAAAAATGACCAATTTATACTCTATACTATGGTTTCCAGTAATTTCCAATCATTTTTACCATGGAACTAGTTTTGAATGTTAATTTTTTTCTTACTGTCCCCAGCAACCTCCATGCCACATTTGGAAGATCATCCCTCCTCATCCTCCTTTTCACAGCTTCTACTTTTCCCCCCAGCTTTGCTATCTTCAATTTGTCAAGAACCTTCATTAATTAAAATATCTGTTTTGGGTGCTCATCACTTTTTCTTCAGAAGAACAAAACTTTATCCATCTCCACTCCTCTTAATGCAGGCTTTCAAGGTCATGAATAAATCCTGGTAAATTTCTCCGCAAAGGAACAAATGCATTTACTTTTAAATCCTGCCTGAAGACCTTCCTTTTTGATCGTGCTTACGGTCACCTCCCCCCTCCCTATCCCCCTGTCTCGGTATCAGACTCCGCCACTGTCAACCCCCCTACCTCACTTGAAGGACGCTATATAAATGCAAGTTGTTATTGTTGTATATTATTAGCTGCTTGGAGTGTACAATCACTGTTTTAAGCAAAGATTGAAACAATCTATGTGTATTACTGATTGCTGTGCAGGAGCTTTCAGTGAGTGTCAGCTTCTATTCAGTTTAACCATTTCAATGCAGCATCACTGTATATATTACATAACTGAGTACTTCTCATAACACCTGCGAACAGTAGTGTTCAATTAGTATAACTATTCTTTACAAGTTCATCAAGAACCAAAGACTGCTGGTCCGTAGTGTATTCTCAAACTGGCATTGTTTTATATATGCATTGATTGTGTATGTACAGATCTATTGGAGTCCTGACATGTAAAAGGTTGTTGTAGAACAGGAACACAAGGTCATGACACAAAGAGCTGAACAAGTCAAAACACAATAAAGTGAGCGATTAGTGCTTATGGTCTCTATAAACACATTCTAAATCAACACTATATTAATATGTATTACAAATTATATTAGGTCTCATGTCACCTTGAATTATTGTTATGCAGTCTTAACAGGTAACTTATGATCTGGAATCGAGCAGCATTAACGACTCATTTCTCACTCTGTTCTCATTTCGGTTGGTATAGTTTTGCCAATTCATGTTCATATTCTGTTGTACTTCCACTGAATTTCACTCTGTAGTTTATACCCTCTAATAGAGCCACGATTGATATTATTCGACTTCCTCTATTCTATTCTGTTGAAGTTGTAGTTGTGTTTTTAGGTTTTATCTTCCATGTTGTCACCAAGTATTTCCATTTTAGTTCTTGTGTTCTGTTGCCAAGGTCAAGCTTTGTTAAAATGATCAGAGAGTGAGACAAGAACCAAGAACCATGACAAAGATAACTAAAGGGAGTGTCGTTGCACAAAAAGGAAGACAAACATCAATTGAAACCTTATCCAGTGAATAGTTGAAGCATTCAGACCAGGCAGGTTTAATTGTTGAGTTTGCTGATCACGATTGGGGCAATAGGAGCATTGTACTTGATCACCACAGAGAAGGAAAAATGCCTCTGATCATGATCTAACAATCCCTGTTGGGAAACTGCATGTGTGGATGTCAAGTAAAGGATAACATTGGGCTTGGATGTGATGCACACTGTGGTTTAATAGCCTGCTGAGAGTTGTTGTCAAGGATTATACGTGAATAATGGCCACTTTGGCAAGTTAATGAATGCTGACAGTTGCCTGTGCAATATTATCCCAGCAAGTAGTCATTTTGCCTTCAAGAGAGGAAATGATTGGGAGAAAAAATGGTAGAGAAACATTGGCAAGAAAAAGGAGGGAAGCCAAATTAGGATTATGAGCTAGGAAAATAACAGCTGACCTGAACACTAAAACATTTTTGGGATGGAAGCTTTTTTACAAGGTTATTTTTATTTTTGTTTGTGTGTTGCTAAGATTGTATTAAGTCGTATCATTGGGGACCATACATTTAATATGACTTTTGCAAAAGTATGAGTTATGTGAAACTTTATATGTCATAGGAAATTCCATGGGACTTGGGCAGATATATGACTTAGGCGATTATATGATTTATACAGATCAGACTCATGTGCGTTTTACTGTATATTAAAAAGGCTTTAGATTTACAGCTGCAACATGTTTACGTCACATTTCTCCATTAATGCCCACTCGCCAGTCCATTCAAGATATTCTGGGTCCTTTGTAATAGCAACTCAGGCAAAGGATTCTGACTTTTCACATAGTTTTTATGATGGGCAAGACCAGATATCCGGTGTATAATTTTATCAAGGTTACTCACACAGATTAGGAAAACAACTAAGTGAGGATTGATTTGATGAAAGTCACCTTATGTGAAAATGTCTATTTGAAATCACTCTTTGCTTTTTCTATTTTCTGGCCAGTTTGCTACCCAGCTTGTTATTCAACTTCACTTTCATCTGTAACTACTTTCTGCAAAAACATTTCCTACATTATTAGTGTGATAACCTCAAGAAAACCTAATAAGGCACGGTTTTCCCTGTTTGAATTCACATTGGCATTGTCATAATTTATTATTAGATGCACAATATTTTCCCCTTTTGAACTGTGTGTTTTTTTTCCTTCCTTTCCTGAAGATGGTGATTTATGGTGGGGTATGGTGTTGGCAACCTTCCTGTACTTCATCAATAAACTTTTTCATAAGTCTTTCTCCTTATGTGAGCCTCACACAGTAAATGTCAGTGGGCTAGTTTAATATAGAGGGACATATCACATTCCAATAGGAGGGAAAGGAATGCAGATCACTAGCTAGTGGGGCTACAGTGCTCTATCAATGTACCGCCATGTTTTATTCTAGAGTTAAGGATGAAGCCTAGATCAGACCTGGATTAGTATGGCTCATTGGCACACCAGATATGCATACTGTGTACCTGCTTAACAATCAAAAGAATCCCTGAAATCTCAGATTTTATTTTATAAATTGGCTTGAAAGTAAGATTTTCTTGAACAGTAGAGTTGGGCTACTTTAATAGTTATCTCTTATCTCTATTCTTCCTGATCAATGATGGAAGATTGTTACCAAAACACCCCATGTCTTTCAGTTCCATGAAAGTTCAAGGTAGCCATCTTCTGGATTTGGCTACTTTGATGTCAGTTTCCAAATAATACTTTTATTGCACGTTTCTACTTGCCATGTGTCCTTGGGGGTGCCAGAAAGTATGATTGCAGGAACTAGAAATGGAAAAATGTTGGTGTATTTCTGTAACTTCTTTGTAATTCAGGTTGAAATGTGACATTGGAAATTTCAGCCGTGCACTGATATTCTACCGCAAAGTTAGTCTGTTTACTGTTTTATCACAGAAACTTGATCTGTTTTCTTGCAATAGATATATTGGAAATATTTTGCTGTTCCTTTTGATTTATTCAAAAATTTGTTCTCAGTTTTCTTCACTACACCCCTCTGTAATGTTTTGCTTCAGCAGCTGTAGTTTTTCTTTTTACTTTCTTTTATTCCAATCTTCTTTCCTCCCTGATGCCATATAATGTTTAAAATACTTTTGCTCGCCTCAATCATTATCGTAAGTTATTTCTTATGGAGATGTCAAATCTGCCATAAAACATTAATGTCTCCCAGGCACCTCAAGCCAAAAAGGAAATCTTGCCAATTGTTACTCCCAATTCCTCAAGTGTTTGTCTTCCCACCACATCTGTGTCTGCCCACTCCTACTACTTCCGTCAACAAATCTCTACAGGGCTTGGTTTGGTACTTGGTTTTCCTCGTTATACAGGATATGGGCCAGATCTGGCTTCCAGTTTTAGCACAGATAAAAATATCTGACACTATTCAGCTAAGTCTACCCACCACCTTTAGCCCTTGCTTTGTATGAAAACACTTTGGTGATTCTGTTAACAGTGCGCTGGGGTGAAAAATTGATTGAGACACTAGATTGGTTAGGGCACTGCCCCACTATATAAGGCCACTATATAAATGCAACTTGTCGTTGTCATTGTTGTTAAAAAACTATGACCATTTTTACATAGCCTCAAACTTTGAATTGGGATACACAGCTCCTAAAAGTGCAGTTTGCATTGATTTTTCTGTGCAAAATATCAAATATAACTGGGGTGTAACTCCTTACCAAACAGCACACAGGACTTCAGTAGTCTGCTGAAAAATCTGAAAGAAAATTTCAGATCAAAAGGAACACGTGGTGTTTTGGGTTAATCTTGTCATCTTTGACTAATGTGTCCTCTGATTTGACCCATTTTGTTTTGTTCTTCCCTGTTTGCAGGTTACGGTGCGGTGGCTTTCGATGGTACACCAAGTTACAGTCACCCTTCCACACATCACGCCCCTCAGTTCTCAAACCATCCCTTCAAACATGAAGACCCCATCAACCAGCAGAACAGCATAGGTAATGCCTTTCTATTCCACACAACACCAATGTTACTGATCCTTAACAAAAAAAATTATCTCTGTCCCATATTTCCCTTCTCCTTTCCTCACTTTTCCACAGACAGGTGAAATACTCTACTTCATGGGTAGTATTTCAGAAGGGGAGAAGGAGGGAGTTGGGAGATATTTAACACACATTTGAAGTGAAGGGAAGAGAAATGTTGTTGAAATTAGATAAAACTATTATAAGTCATTTAGAGATACGAAATAAAAATCTTCTTTTGCGTTTTCCCGTTACTCATAGCTAACTGAATTCCCAAGTCGATTTGAGGACTCCCAGTAGCCGAGCAGGTGGGACAACATAAATAGCTCCGCCAGTTGATTTAAACAAGTTGTGGGTTAAGAAAGAAATTTCTTGCGCAACAGTTTCATTGTTTGCAGCTGGTCAAAGCATCAGCAAACGATAGAGTGAAATATGAAGATACGTGGACCTGGGAAACAGCTTCAGATTTACAGCTGCCAGGAATCAGTGCAACAGGTTTTCCATATTTGAGTAACCGCTTAGGTATTAGGACTCGGAAAAAATCCTAGCGACCAAATCAGGAGAAACCTGTGCTTGTTCATTTTAGCTCCCTGCCCCTCCCCTGCCATCCAGCATCCCAGCTTGCCAGCATTCACTATCGAGGTTCGCATGTGGACAATGCAGGTGACTGGGGCCCATTGAATCCTAATAATAGGAATAATAAAAACATTCCTTGCATTTGATATAGCTTCTTATCACGTCATTGAGGCATCTCAAAACACTCCCTAGGATTCACTGTAAAGTGAATTGATTGAATATTTTGTGGGCGAAATTCTCTATAGAAGCAAGACTGAATTATGCAGTATAACTATTCACATTTATTTTATTTGTTTATTCCTTAAAACTCCCTTCCAATCAGTGTGTCTCGTATCAATAATTATAAGTAATTATCAGTAATTATAATCTTATTAAAGGGGTTTGGTTCTTGTTGGCTGTGGCTATATTCATTGCTGCCATTCTTTTGAAACCACTTTGAACACTTCTAGCCTTGTGATACCTTCTGCGTGTCAGCAAGTCTGGGTCACAGTGTAATTTTTTTTATAAAGAAACAAAATCGTATGTCTGTGCTAGAAATCTAACCAAGTTAAGAGCCTTGACATATGATCTGGGCCTGAGTTTAATTCTGTAGATTAAATCCTTCCACAGCAGCTCACTTTCTACTGAATAGCAAGTCTGTGAGTAATGTTTCGTGTGTCATTTAAACCACAGGAGATCAGCAATATGGAGTCCCTCCTCCAGTGTACGGCTGCCACACCCCCACAGACAGCTGTGCTGGGAGCCAAGCCCTGCTGCTAAGGTCTCCATACAACAGGTACTAGCCTCCGCACCACACAATGATCAACATCCACCACTTGTCTTGACAAGAAGCACTGGCAAATTATCTGGTTTTGTCAGACTCGAACCAGGAGTTCAAAGATGTCTCCCGCATTTCCCCCCCCGTCCCACCCGCCACCCACCCCACTCCCTCTTCACATTATTCTCCTACCGTTTAGTTGAAGGTATTTATAATAATAATAAAAAATATAATCCTTGCATTTGATACAGCGCCTTATCATGTTATCGAGACGTCTCAAAGCGCTTCACAGAATATACTGTAAAGTGGAGTGGCTGTGTGTTTTGTGTAGTGCATATTTAATTGAGTAGCTCTTTCAAGGTTATTTTTAGAATGAGTTCTTTGTTTAAAATGGCAACACATTAATTGTAAGTTGTACGTGTACGAGTTTTCACAGTGAATATAGGCAACTGCTTAAACTGCTTTCCAGTATTTCTTCAAACTGCGCTCCTATTTACTTCCTGGCTTCAGGACAGTGAGGAAGGCAACTGATAGAGTCAACCAGATGTTTTTCATCCCGTGTACTTATATCATTGTCTGAGCTTTCTTGCAATAAGTTCACAGATAACACTGGTTTGAAAGCTGACTATGTCCTGGTGTTAGAACAAGTCTTGAAGCACATTATAGCAGATATCTTTGCTTTGTGGAGGGAAAAGGGCCAAGGTTCAGTAATGTAGAAGTGGGAATGGATACACATTGTGGTGTTCACTTGATTGGCGATCAGGGGATAGTTATATAAACCTTTCCCTCAGGAGAATAGATAGGTGGTGGAGGTCATTAGAAGGTAAACTGTACATGACCTGTGGAAGGAGTGGGTTTGGAACGCCAAAAGGCCTTTTCTCATTCTGTGCTCTCTCAAATAAATTATGGTATTGTGTGCAAAATGCAGGAACTTACACCACAAAAGCAAAGAGCAAAAATAAATTAAACGGAAAAATTGCTTGCAGAGTTCTCTGTTCTCATTGTCCTGAATTGTGGGTAGATTCAGACATGTTGTGGTTGTCAGGATCTCTCAGGAGTTTCACATTACAATCTTATAAGATGCTTCAAATTGCAGTGCAGAATACAACGTGCAAATTAAATTGCCTTTTTGTAACTACTGAATAATAATACAGTACTTGTATCTCACATGCTGCCTTATCGTATCAAAACATCTCAGAGTTTCATACAACTACGACTTACATTTATGCAACACCCTTCACGCAGGTTAGCATCAGAATGCTTGACCGTGGGGGAGCATGCCACTGAGCTGGAGGGTGGTGGGGGGGGGGGGGCTGGGGGGTGATAGTTGACTGTATGCACGGTCGAAAAGGAAGCTCTTTAAGGTCAGGTAACTATTGTGTCAGCAAATGTGCCAGCTTATCTGTATCCGCAGGAACCCGTAAATAACAATGAGGTGAATGAGCAGTTGAATTTGGACGAGTGAGGAATATAAACCAGGACATAGGAAGCACTTGCTGTTTTACATTGAAATAGTTCAGGTGAACATCAGAGAATCCACTAACAGAGCAGCCTGAAGAGATTTGTTTGGGGGTAAATTGCCTTGCAGTTTCCTCCCCCATTAACTTTTTCCATTAAGTGGTTATTCAAAACAATGCAATGTTCTCTGTAAGACCACAATGTGACAGACCAACTCTCAAAAGTTCAGATATTTTGCTGAGAATCACATTCCTGATGTATAAACTCAGAAAAAGTTATCTGTGCCCTCTTGCCCAGTAATCAGTCTATCACTGAGCTCAGCAACTGACTCACAGGACTGGACAGATGCTCCGCAACCATCCTCTCTGAAGCACATAAACACAAATGGAAACAATCTTTGTAAAATCCCTTTTGCTCTTGTTAAATTTCCACTGTTAAACACTCTCTTTTCTAAGCTGAACTAAGAACACTCTGTGGAACTCTTTTCCAACATCCCTTCTCCTTGCTCCTCTCCCTGGCTTCAACCCATCCCCCCCACCCCACCACCGCCATCCTTGTATGTGCTGCCATCTATATTCATAATCCTTCATATCTTAAGTGCAGCATTCATTTTTCAGACAGAAATGGTGCCAAACCCATGGACTAACATGTGCCATAACACCTAAGTATCTGCTGCAGGACACTATCTCATCATTGTTCAAGTCCCAATATGTATTCGATTTACTTGTATGTTGGCACCAATAGCTTGGTAACAAATGTACACTGCATTTGATGCACAACAGGTAAGAAAGAAAACATGCAACCAAGTCAAGCAGACCTTGTGTACAGCAACACGTACACAATGTTGAATGGAATAATGTAATCTCAGGATCCAGATGACTCTCTCCAGCTTTCCTTTTACATTTCATGATGTCATCTCAACCTCTCGATTGTCTTAACTGGTTGGCGATTTCCTCCCCGGTCTGTCTTCATTTATTTTAAAGTAAAAAAATAATAAAGTGCATTGACTTATGGGTCCCCCACAGAAAAGTTCTGATCACAGTTATAATTTGAAATATTCATATACATTCTTCATATATAGGAAGAATATGTGGAGATATGGTGGATGTTCGGTTTATTTAATGGCATACCTGTTATTGGTGAAAATGAGAGAGAAATTTAGACAGGTTTATTATCAAGTAAAAATGAATCCCAAAATACTTTGAATGCGTGCACAAGTTTACGTCAAGGGAAGGAGGTACTGATGTAATGTAGGAAGGAAAGGAGTTTATCAAGATGGATGGTGTGTGGTACTATAGCGACAGAAAGCTGACATCGGTTAAGAGTACACAGAATCTTGTACAGAATCTATAAATATGATTTGTGATGTGGATTTGAATGTAACATCTCATTCTAAGTGCTGGCTAGATTGACCTTCTACACAGGATACCTATGCAGAGAGAAATTGTTTTCCTAATGCTTATTGTGGATTGTGGCCAAATGCAGGAAATACAATGGGAATTAAAATAAGAATTTATGTCACTCTTATTTTTCTTTTTTAAAAAAAAAGTGATACCCGATTGGATTGGGAAAACCGGTGGAAAAATAGCACCAAGGAAAAAATGAGTGTGCATACGTCTATGTCTGAGACATTGTTAATCATGTGTTTTTTACTAGATAACAGAAACCATTATTTTCGCTCAAAGGATTCCATGTGATTTTTTTTTACTATGGTGTGGAGCTCTCCTGCATCTTACTTTATTTTATGAACTGTTTAGGATTGGGATCAGAGTTTGGGATATATTGCATAGTTACTGTCGGGTAGCATTAATATTATAGTTCAAGTTACTTTCAGGACTAGAGCTTTACCGTCAGAATCTGGGCCAGGCTTACAATTAGGGCAATATCTATTGTTTCTCATGTTAAACTACATTTTTCAGACTAATGAATACAGTGCTTTGTACAATAAGGGGAACATTGAACATTTCACAGGGCCAAATAATCGTGGCATTGCCCCTTAACAATGGACTGCATCATTGGTGTGATAGGAACATAGGACATAGGAACAGGAGTAGGCCATTTAGCCCCTCAAACTTGTTCCACCATGCTATTAGATCATGGCTAATCTGTACCTCAACTCCAAATATCCACTTTTGCCCCAGATCCCTTGATAAGCCTTCTCAGTAACGGCTGTAAAATTTCATTTAAGAAAATGAACATTTAGAAAATAAATTCTTGGATATAGCTAAAGAGCTGCCATCCCTCAGCTTGTGTTTAAATGGTTTAGCTCATGATACTGATGTGATGCAATGTCTTTTTGTATAAAACTCTGAGTTTCCCACTTATCTCCATCGCAAATCAGCATAACTTCATTGGTTACACTATAATAAGTTTGGCTGAATCAACCTCTGGTATAAATATCCCCGTCACCCCTTGTTACCCATCAGTGTCTTTTGTTTCAAGCCATATCACAGACAAGTAATAGCATTTGAGCCCTTCAGCACTTGGTGTTTTCAATGAGGGATTTACAGAGTGACAGACAGACCTACGGATTTATTTAAGTGGAGGAGTCACTGTGCAGAAAGGGGATAACTCCACACAGAAGGTGGAAAGCTATGAGAGATGATTCCTCGTCGAGCCAATGTAATGTGTATCTGGTCGCCTTTCAAAACCATTTTATTGTTTTTCGGGTTGTAATACGAAGAGAAAGAATTCACTCAGGTTAACATTTGCCTTTGTGTGATTTTTTTTAATACATATAGTTCTGGCTACTTGTCTTCTGTTGTGGTCTGGTAAATCGCTGTGGGTCAATTGGCCAAAAAAACTGGTACATATAATCGGAAGATGAAATTAGGTGACAAGATGAATAAATGGATTGGTTGATGAAAAGGCAGCGAGAGCAAAAAGCAGTTGAGGTTGTGTGTGTGTGAGTTGGGGAGTGTGAGGGGGGGAGAGAGAGAGAGAGGATAAGAGCTAATTTTATAAATGAAATGTCAAGGAGAGAGAGTGGAGAAACTCTCCTGAAGTACGTGTTTTGGGCTGGCACTTCTAATAAAAATCCGGGCCCTGAAGGAATTAATTACAAAAGCATTACAGCAAGAATTTGTGGAATTGCAAAGCATTGCAAGGCACCGACCAGCACGAGCCAAACTACTGGGAAGGGAGAAAACTCCAGGAGAGTTTAATAATAATTTTCTGCTCAGATATGAAGGGACATAATAGAAACGCGGACACGATAATGGATAACGCTGTCTAAAGGTACTGATGTATGCGAGGTGGCATTTGTTTAGCTTTAGATCATTAAAGATACACTAGGTCAGATAGAGGCTGCCGAACACTCGCTGATTTTTTTTTGGATGTGCCTTGTTGCTCTGTGGTGAGCGTCCTGCTGGAATTAAAATTGAAACTTTTAGCAACTGCTTAATTTAGCCACTTGCTAGCGGTAACTAATGAAAACGCTAGATTTCACAGCTGTGAGAATAGCAGGTACTGTTTTAATTCATCACACCTCGTGTCACATTTTTCTTCTCTCTGTCACGTCACACAGAGCTCAGTCATCCATCACTGGCCACCTTGGGAGTTTTCATTTCACCAGTTGAAACTGGAGGTATTTTTTGTTGCTGCACCTCACATCTTTTGTTCGCATTTCTCATGAGCTGCTCCATTTGTCTAACTTTTCTGCATCTCATCATTTCACATTTGCCCTTTCGCTGCAGATTCCTCTAATTAATCACTCCATATATAAAAAAAAACACGAATCATCAATCCCATGAATGAATATTTGTTTAGAAGCAAGAGTGTTTGAATAAGTTACAATGGCAGAGCATCAGGTTCCCAGTCAGATATCCAGTCATTATGACTGACTGACATTTAAACTTGGGCCTCACTAAAGGGTAAGTTTAATACTGCCTCAACTGCTGCTTTCTTCCCAGTCAGCCAAACCTCTGGTCTTTTCTCAATCAGATTGCCAACTTAGCATTAATTCATGCTGAATTCTGAGTTGTCTTGTGCTGTGGACCCCTTTACCATTGGGCACTTTATTGAGACTCCTAAAAATGATTGTATTCTCACAACAGAGGAAGCAGCAATTAATTTAGTTCACACACTTGTCTTTGTGTGTGTGTTGCCATTGCTAGTAAAGCATGACATTAAGGTTCACTGTCTCCACCCATCATCCATTTTGTTTATTCTGATTTACAGTTCCCTGTTATTTTATTATATAAATCAAAGGCCCAGTAGACTTACTCTCACATGTGCCAGGCTCATTTGCTGTGGTTAAAGCCTCAGCAAATTTTGATCAGTTGCATTCAGTGTTGCACTAAACTTTTGCTTTAGTACTTTACCCAGGACCTTTTGACCCATCAGGAGACTTTGATCTATGTTGGCTTTGGAACAGCTACCATGTTTCACGTAGAAGTCCTTCACCAAGATGTATTTTCTCCACAATCAGACAAAGAGACACACACACACACGCATACACACGCGCATCGACACACACACACACACAGACTGATGGCTGAACTGCATTAACTTCAGTTGCCAATCAGACACATGTCAGCCAAAGTGGAATAGTCTATTTTTCAAAACTACTGGTTTCGTACCCGAGAATCCTTAATGCAATGTTAGACACTGTTGTGTCTGTTTGGTAAGAAAGAAGCACATCAACCTTGACACAGCTCCAAGATATAAAATAAAGGAAGAGTTCATCTCTGGGGAATTGTGAGAAAATTGGACATGATACAATATTAAACTCTACTGCAGCATAAATTAAACTTGCTCCGAGTCCATAAACATTACAAAAGTTTTTTTGGAAAGAGTTTAATCTTTTGTGAGTTACATTCTGACAGAAAAGCCAGGGATTAAGCCATGCAATCGGTGGCAAACAGAACTCTAGGTTTCTCCTGGCCAAGACGAGAATCGTGTGGAAAATTAGCTTTTAGACATATCCACATCAGTTCGAACTGAAGCCAAAGTATTCCTCTGGCTTGGAGCAAATGTTACACTGTACATTACAGAACCACCATTAAGAGTTACCATGAGCCTGCATTATCCATCTTCAAAAGTTTTACTTGAAGGACTGATGAAGTGTTTATTAAATATTGTAGTGTTTTTCCTCTTACGAAATTGCTGATTGTGATTTGGGTGTGTAATGGCCAAACCTGGTGCAAGTGTTTCACAACTAGATACGTTCATCATGACATTTAACATGTGGTGAGATTGATCATATTTGGCAAGTCCAAGGGGAAAAATTAGAAATTAATTTTAGTTTGCTTTACGTCAAGAATATGAGATCTCGTAAATCTGACGTCAGCAAAGTTTTGGACCGGAACTGAATCAATCTAGGCTGACAAATAGATGTGTTGGTTAGTAACAACTGATAGCTGTGTGTCGGTGGTGTATATGTGGAGTAATGTGTCACAGAAAGAGTAGAGATTGAACAGAAAGCAAGAGTTATGCAAGACCTCGGAATTGGTTTTTTGGGGGAAGGGTGAATTGGCAATTCGTTAACATGCTGATCAGGGACAATTCTTAAGGTTCAAGAAGTTCATTTGAATGACTCCGGCTTATCTAACATGAGCCAGAGTAATTCAAATTAACTTTGAAGGTCTAAAGATTTTTCTGCGTTTCTACACTCGATCAAATCCAGCAAGAGCAGGTTGTGGGTCACGTGATGTTTTTGTCAGTTTATCTGAAGTGAAACTGCATTAACTTCCAATGCTGGAAATCTCCTCCCCCAAAGTCTTTCCATCTTAGGGAATAGTTTTCAGGCTCGGCAATGTGTTTTCAGAATTCTAGACAGATTCAAACACTCAGTAATCCACCCAAATATTCTGTTCACTTTTCTTTTTCATAAAAAAGTATTACGTATTTGTAATTGGTTTGATTTCATTTCAAATATTTCTGTAGTAGAGTATCCAGTCTGCTTCATGTCCCAATGAGCGGGCTTTCAGGCGTTCTACCTCTGTTCTCTGGAGCTCCATCCTAAAGCCCCTCCGACTTGTTTGTTTCCTCCCCACTTTCAAAGCACGCTACAAGACTCGTCTCTTTGACCACGCTTTCAGTCATCTTTCTAACCCCTTCTTCTACTCCCGCGCCGAGCCTGTGTAAAGTGCTTTGAGACGTCCTCCTAATGTGAAATGCGCTATGTAAATCTTAATTGTATTGTAGAGTAACAGCATGTGAATTTGTTCTATTTCGAAGCGAGTACTTACTGATTCAAGACGGCCTGATTTAATTTGTGAGTTCTGCAGGTCTGTCAAGAAGGCTGAGTTTAGACCTGTAACTTTGGGAAACCAAAATAAACTGCAATTAGTTAACACAAAACATCAATCTTCAACACAAGTGAGCACCTGTGAGCATGTATAAAACAGAAATGATGGAGTACGAATCAAAAATAATAAAAAATAACGTACAGCAATTATAGAATAATCCAGCTTTCACCATAGAGGTGATGTGATGTCTGCACTGATTTGCTTTATGAATCTTACCATGGTCCAATCCATCTTGTCCATAAATAAACTTGCTTCAGTGTAAGGTACAAGGAAGAAAAGTAAACCCAGACAGATTGTGTTACATATGTCAATAATGTATAAAGGCCCTTAACACTGCATCATTTAACTTCTATTTAATTGTAATCTCTGGGATTGAGCTCAAGAGATGATTGTGAGTCAATCATCTGATTGTAGAGGCTGAAGAGTGTTATTGACAGTAGATGCTCCAAATGCTTGTGTCTGTGAATGTCACTGTAGATTGCCTGGAGCAGGAAAACTACAGATGCGATGTGCTATCCTGATAAACCTGCAGATGACTTGTGAGGGCTTAATTTCTTTCTTTTAAACTCGTAAGCAAGCAAGTCCTGTTTTCTATTGGTTTGTGTTTTTCCTTTATGACAGCAATGCAAGCAATGAGCTGATAACTGCTGTCAACAAAAGAAAGTACCACTATAAACCTTTTTTTTTGGCTGGTGTTGTGGGATCTTTGGAACCCGAATTCAGAACACACAGTTCCCTCTTGCAGTGAAAGGCTACCGACCAAGATTTCCAGAGGTCATAATACTTTCTTCGGCAAAGTGCAAGTTGTTGAATTTCCACCCGATGTAAAGCTGCTACTGAACTGTATATGGTGATTTGTTGAGATTTGGTTAGGGGGCAGTGTATAAACCTTAACATTAAAATGAATGATGGGGGTCAGTTTTGTGGCATTTCTTAATTAAAATTCCAAGTAGGACTCCTTTTTGGTAACTGGAACTACATTACTCTGAACTTGAGAGAAGTCGACTCCCAAAATAGATTGAGTTGGAGTGATGTTCCCATGAGACAGGCCTCTTGGATTGCGTACTTAAGAAATCCGTTATGAAATACCGTAAAATTGACCCCAAAACTGCAATGAGTGAGAAATTTGAGCATGACTGAGTTCGGTTTGTTCCTGTGAATTCATGTTCTTAAGCGATCAATGCCTTGTAATTGCAGCCACGCAGCAGCATATGAAAACGACAATCACAATGCGCCCATGTTGTACAGCTGTAGTACACAGTACAGAATACACACGCACGGAGTTTTCAGAGGGATTCAGGTGAGTGACGCAGACCACAACAACTTGCATTTATATAGCGCCCCCTCATGCAAGGTAGCACCTCGGAGCACTTGAAGAGTTTTAAAGCCTTAAAGATGCTTTTCTAAACAATTCTATTGCTTCGAAGAAGCTAGCGTTAAAGAGAATAACAACAACTCGCATTTATGTAGCGCCCCTCACACATGGTAGTGTCCCACAGCCCCTTCAAGAAGCACTTTGAGTGTAAAGATCACCTGATTTCTCACTCTGTTTTTCATACGGAGGGGACAATCATTATGTGGAACCACAATGTTAGCTCGATGGTTGTAAGAGATGTTTAGCCTGATCTCGATGTCTGTCTGGTTTATATTTCAGGACGTGCGGAGAGTGCCAGGTGTAACCCCTGCCATCGTCAGGTCAAATGCAGAATCCAGTGAAAAGCGCCCTTTTATGTGTCCCTATCCTGGGTGTAGCAAGCGCTACTTTAAACTTTCCCACCTGCAGATGCACAGTAGGAAACACACAGGTAAGCTTAGCCCAGCTCAAGGCTATTGAAACAGTTTTTTTCCCTATACTATACTTATTTTCCCTATACTTTACCAGCTAGGCAGACGCTCAATAAACTAATAATTGTTTAGCTAATGTGATGCCACAAACTGAACGTCTAACAGTTTAGGAATTTCCTTGTACTAAATGAAGACTGCAGATGGGATTAGAGTGTGGATGTACCTTATTTTGGGGGTAGTTTAATGCAACCTTTTTGAACACCATTTATCCTTTTGAACCGTAAATCTTTTGCTCTTAAATGTAGATCAGAATTTAAGTGCTGCATTGTTGACTTCTTGTTCTTGTCCTTATGACCTGGCCAATACAAAAGTGCGGAAATATTACTGAGGTAACATGGATTCTAAGGTGCATTTGAATTTTGGAAATACTCATTGAAAAAATCCGCAACCGAGATTAGAATTAATACAGTAATCCCAGAGAATCAAATGTGTGAGTCATATTTAATAATAATCCTTGCATATAATATAGAGTTTTATCATATGGTTGAAATGTCTCAAAGTGCTTTGCCGGATTTACACAGTAGGAAGTAGGATTAAGATTGTAGGAGTGTAGGATAAGCACATTGGAGGTCAGAGAGCTGCGTAGAGCTCTTTTGTTATCATTGGGGTCTAACACCCAAGGGTTTGAATGTGATTGCTTAATAAGGAGTCTGAGTGGAGACTTATTCCAGCAACAAGCAGCGGGTCATATTGGGGTCAGGGCAGAGATCCCTGACTTAATATGAAGTATTCCCAGCTAAGGAATCCCATTAGAAGTCATCACATGCTGGACCTCTCCCCACTCCACCCCCCTAAATCTGCACATTGTGTCTCAAACTACAGCCATTGACAACAGTTTTAGTCGTAATTTACAATATTTCAGTAGGAAATAGCGGTGAAATGAAAATTGTATTTCCAAAAATGTGGCGTCTCAAAGCAACTTCAACTGAGCTGCAAACCTGGAGTTTTTCCAGTTGTAAATCTGCTCCCAAGTGTTTTAAGTAGAACACGCCACGGTTAACAATCTAATATGATAAATATCTCCACAAATGAGGCTAACTGGACAATTCACAAAGTGGCAAAGTTAGGAGTGAGTTACGGTTGCCTTAAGAGTGTAGATTGTTCTCCAGGATTTGTGCCAATACGAGGAGATTTAAGACATCTTATCCCCAAATCTTCTCCATTAAAAATTTGCCGCCAAATATCTCAAAATATTTCACCATTAATTACTTTGAATACAGTCAATTCTGAAATCTTGATCTCCTAAGTAACCTTGGAGAAAACCTTGTCTGTTATTTGATGTGACTGGCCAAGAAATATCCTAAATATAAGAGGTCTAGGAGTATTAGAACCATCAAACGAAAGAGCTCTTTTTAGTGAAACCGTTTTCTGTGAATCATTATTTATATCACTTGTCATTCCAGTCATAATCTGTTAATGAAAATATATCAGAGAAAGAAAGAGCTTTAAGTCGCATCACACAGAATTGCTTGATGAGAATCGATGACAGTAAAAGTGATGTTTGGTGATGATATTAGGAGAATAGGTGCCATTAACTGAAGGTAAAGCATTAGAAGTTATTCTTGCTAATAACTTTGGGTGCAAGTCATAAGAATGTTCCATGATATCCGCACATCACCAAAGTCACTACACTTGTTGGCATCTCCCTTGGCCAGCCCCATATATCGCCCACAACATATACAGTCAATTCACTTTACAGTATATTCTGTGAAGCGCTTTGAGATGTCTCGAAGATGTGATAAGACACTGTATCAGATGCAAGGATTATTATTATGGTTTATAATGTCATGTGAATGAAATTAGGCAGTCTTGTAAATTACTGTCTGCCACCTGCCTTCTCTTGGCTGGAAACAGTGCGTTACAAAATGTATCATTCTTACACATTATTTTGTGAATCATATAGATATATTATTTCGCAATTAAGAGTCCACAGAAGATGCTAATTCCCTTCTGGTGAAGTCAGTTGGCTCTACTTGTAACAGCTGCAGGAATGTAAGTCCAAGATAGACAACGGTTTTAGAAAAAAAAACTCCACTCTCCACCGCATTAATACGTCAGCAACTTTAAACCTTATTATTAAAAGCAACCAGGGGGAATTCTAATATATTAGAAGTAATAGGTTCAAGTGAGGGAGTTAATGGTGTAATTAAGTCTTGTGTTGGTGCTGCTATACAGCTACAAGAGTTTTGATTGCCCTGCTCCCTTCCCAACATTCATTATCCTCCGTACAATCAATAAAGGGTTTCACCAATCACTAGTTCTAGAAAGTGATGAGTTTATGGGAATGTTTTTCCGCGCATTACTGGCATTTCCTCTTGAAGCTGTCAGAACGGCATTCCATCTGCTGAATTATTTGTGACTTTTGACCACTCTCAAACCAATGTTTATTTTTAATTTTAACTGCAAGGGATGATTAGTCCTCCTTGTGTAAGTCATTCTGATTATAAAACAAAAAAAGTGATTTCACAAATGGAAGGGTTGGTGCAGTGTGAACCTATGGCACCTCATCACAGGGTCAAGGGTTTTTGTGGTTTATGAAAGTTCAGGTTTTATAGGCACTTGCAAGATCTTATTACTGCTTTACTCACGACTCAGCACCATTTTTCCGCAATTATGATTGTTATTATGAGAACTGCAACCTAACAAATACCCTTGTAAAACATCTGATCGTTGATGTGGTAAATTGACTGAATTACGTGATGTACAAACTATAGGCACAATTATCTCTCGCAGGAAGTTTGATGAAAGTCACTTGCAACTGATGGTTCGTGACCTAAACCCATGGGAAATAACACAGCATTAATCTATACAGAGCAAATGCAATCCAGTTCCAGTGATATTGAAAAGACAAATCCAAATGCTGTTGGTGGTAAGACCACTGGCTGTGCTCCAGTTTCTCAGCCCAATAACTTGAAGGAGAGGGGAATAGAAGGGAATAAGAGCATGTAAGGAATGAGTGAAAACTCGTGTGGAGTATGAACACTGACAAAGACTGGTTGGGCTGAGTGGCCTGTTTCCATGCTGTGCATGTTATCTTTTAAAACCAGGAGGACAAACAGCCGGTTGTCAAAATTGCCCATGTGTCCTCTTTCCTGAGTCTTCATATAAAGTCTGTGCGGGAATCTACAACAGTATCAAAGGAAATCGCCTTACTAATTTATCTCATTATGGATATTTTTTTCCTATAGACTATTATGGGCCAATACACATTGACACTCTGTATTTGAATGCAGCTGAGCACACTTGAGATTTCTTTTAAGCCCATGTTACGTTTATGAAATTGACCTGCAGTTGACATCCAGCTGACTGTGCCTTGGGTTCTGCTGCTGTGAAATGCATTAGAAAAGATGGATATTTTACAAAAACGCTGTTGACTGTGTAGATGTCTGTTTTGAGGAATAGCTTAACAATGCCAAGCATAACATTTGCCTTTAAACAGATGCCTTAACACGCATCTAGTAAAATGATGCTTTAAAAATAAAATTAACTTTTGTATTTTAATTCAACGCAAATAAAAATGCTCATCCCGATGCCTAAAACATGCAGCTTTGTGCAACTCACCTTTAAAGCTTCAATATGAAGGAGATCTATATTCGAGACCATTTGATTGTAGGAATAAATTTTCAACCTTTTTGTTTTCACTAGCACTTTCTATGTGTATTCGATATATTACCAGGAGAATTTATGTTAATATGTCAAAGACCGACTGTCCCCCAGAGATTATTTCCTAAAAATAAATGCAACTCTATGGGGGAGTCGTTGTGGTCAGAGTTTAATTGACCATTTTCAGCAGCTTCAGTCGAATACACAAAATCAATTAAGTTGAATTGACACTGAAATGTGGCAAGACCCAAAGGTCTTGGGTAACACTTATGGCATAAGTACGTGTGGAGTAAGTTCCCCCTGAAGCAGTAGCACTAGTAAGCTAAACACGAGACTTCAATTTTACTTGCATTTATAATCAAAGCACTTTGAGACGTCTCGATGAAGTGATAAGGCGCTCTTTCAAATGCAAGGATTATCATTATTATAATAAGGGACGAAAACAGCAGCCTGTTGGTGCACAGCAAAGTCCTGCAAACAACCATTTGATTTGGGTGGGATTGTTTCTCGGGCTAGTCTCTGCCGCTGCATTACAAGCATGAACTGTTTTCTTGTCTGAGCAGGTGAAAAACCGTACCAGTGTGATTTCAAGGATTGTGGGCGACGATTTTCCCGCTCAGACCAACTCAAACGACACCAGCGGAGACACACTGGTAAGAGAGGAGAGGCATTGACGATGCGAAACACACTGGGTTCAGTGAAGCTATATATGCACTCGCTCTCACCGATGCAAAAAAAAAATACATTGCACCGCAGCGCAAGACAGAGATCATGAGCAGAGGTTCAGTGATATTTCTTGCTGCGTTTACACCTGACCTTTTAGCAGTGAATCAATTGCTTCGGGTTTGGCAAATCCACTGCCAAATGTGTTACGTGCATGAGAGTTAGTCAGAGCGAATTGCACTGAATCTCACTCCTGACACCAGCTGCAAGGAACAATGTAAACACAGCACCAGTGTATTGGTTGTCATGTCTTCAGCCAGTGTATATATGTTTGTGTGTAATTTCTGTTTTTGTTACCTGATATGAACCAACCCCGTCCCCTTTTCACTCTTCAGGAGTAAAGCCTTTTCAGTGCAAAACCTGTCAGCGTAAATTCTCCCGTTCCGATCACTTGAAGACTCACACCAGAACTCATACAGGTAAAACAAGTGCGTAAACATTTTTTTTCCACATTTTTTACTTTTCTTGTAGAACGCAAACTTCGATATTCATCACTGCTGCAATGTGTTAACCCTTTGAGTACCGAGTATATTTTTTGCAAAACTTCAAATTTGCGCTCTCTCTTTTCTTTTTTGCTAAATGCTGGCCTGTGAACGGGGAGGAAAAAAAAATTTCCCGGTGAATTTCTCTCTGGTTTTATCACCACCTGTTGCTTCCACTTTATTTCTCTTATGTTGTTTTGGATTTCCCCTTTGAGGTAGAGCGCCCCGACATGTAGGAGCCAAGCCTCCAATGCAGACAGCAGGTCGCGCTCAAGTGAGGGATAAGTCCTGAGCACACCTACAGTGATCGTTTCCCAAGAAAAAAAATTAATCACTCAATCCACGACTGTGTGCGGGACGCTGCTGTGCGCGATTGGCTGCGCGTTTCGTCCACAAAATACACAGTCAATTCACTTTACAGTATATTCTGCGAAGCGCTTTGAGACGTCTCGAAGACGTGAAAAGGTGCTGTATCAAATGTAAGGATTATTATATTATTAAACCGAACGGTTTTGAATGTTCCTTACAAGGCAGAACTGTGGATCGTTTCTCAAATTTCATTAGTCTCCAAACCAATTATTGCAGTTTTGTTACTTTCCTTATGTTTAGCGCAACAACAAAAACATGAAGGCAAATGTGCTCAAAAGGTTAAAAATTCTGTTCTTCCAATCTTTCATCTCAGTGGAAGAACGTCTCGGATTTGTCTCACTTTTCCCGACAACTTTTATTTCCCAACTTTTGGGATGCCCAAGCAAATATAAAACTGTTGGGCTGGGTCTTGTCACCAATTGAGTGGCATTCTCTCCCCCTCCCCCCACCAAACAAAATACTCTCAGTCAGTTTGTTTTTGGGGGGTGGGGGGGTGGGTGGAGGACAAAATTGTCATTTCTATTAAAACAGGCAATTGAAAAACAGCCCATAACTGGTTTCAAATGTCCTGCCTCGTCGATTCAAAGAAAAAATCCTAAGAATATCATATCCTAACAAAGTTGCATGAATGTGTTGTCACCTTTTATGTGTAAACAAAAATTAAACGTTCATTAAGCTACCGTTTTTAACAGGTGAAAAGCCTTTTAGCTGTAGGTGGCCGAGCTGCCAGAAGAAGTTCGCGAGGTCGGATGAACTGGTCCGTCACCACAACATGCACCAGAGAAACCTGACCAAGCTCCAGCTCGCTCTCTAGTGAATTGGGGGGGAACCTCGTTCAAACAAGAAAAAAAAAGGATGTGACACTGACGGAGAAACAATTTTGCTTCTGTTCACCTCGGTTCTAAAATTCAGCAGCTTCGGGAGTCAACAGGCGTGAGCTAAAACGCCTGATTTTTCTATGATTAACCTCACACCGACCAAAACGTTAGACATACACCACCAGTAATCTGTGGGGTTCGCTGTGCCTCTAATTCAGTCACTGTTGAAGTGTAGAAGGAGAAGTGGGGGTGAAGCATAACAGCCACTGCACATGATAAGCATTAGCAATGTAGCCAATGTCACTCACCATTGCACACATAACCTGCGATGATGTTCACACAGGAGTGAGTGTGAGGGTGGTTTAAATGGCAGTACAGCATTGCTCCATATTGTAAATATAATGTATATAGGAACCTCTTATAATTGAGTACTACTGTATTCAGAGTTTTATTTTGGATTAAAATCCTTGGCTAATCCAGATGTGCCCTGTGTTGTGTGCAGCTACTAAAGGCCGTTTAATGACAGGCTTACAATGAGGCAATGGGGAATACATTTCATCTATCGAGTTAACTTGCCTTTCAGTACCTATAGCAGATGCAGAGATGGGAATAAAATCATTTGGCCAGGGTGAGACACTGTCGTTTATCCATTTGTGGCATATTTTATCGAGATCTATTTAGGGAGAGGGTGAGGTTAGCCAGCAATGCATAAACCACTAAAAAAAAAAGACTGTTTCAAAATTGTATGCTATGTATTGAGAAGCCACACTGGCTTTGTGGCTGATTAGGTGTAACGTTACCAAACATTGTTTAAAATCAAAGGCTGGTCCGTAACTTCGAATAACCATTCCTCTTGAAAGTCCGTAACTTAATGATTTTTTTTTCTCTATATAATGAAGAGAAAAGTTTTAGTGTAATGGATTGTACTGTGTTGGGGTTTGTTTTTCCTTGTTCATGTATTTACTGCTACTTTGCCGGAAATTATTATGTATATATCTGATAATGTATTGCTGTGCCTAAAATAGGAGAGTTGCTAAAAAAAATGTAGAGAATAAAACAAAAGATAAATAGGTATGCCACAGGTTTGGGCTGTTTGCTTTTACCTTGTCTGTGTGTGTGTGTGTGTGTTCATACTGAGAATGTAAAAGCTGAATTATATTTCCTCGACCATCACCACTGAACTCTCAATTAAAGATGCCCAAAGAGAATCTTAATGAATGTCCAGCAGCTGTTTTATTTCATGGCTCGTATCCGATTTCCATTCCTGGGTGTCATTTCGAACATTTTACTAACTGCTTCCAGCTCCGACCACTTAACCCCTCCTGGGCCAGGCTGCAAATGTGTTCACCTCAAATGAATCAAAAGTCTGGCAACCGCCAGCAACACAGTTCCAGGATCCTGATCCTCAAATGTAATGCGTTTCGACAGCGACATGTGGCTGTGTTCTTTCGCTGGGAAAGTTGGGGAGACCTCACTCACTCTTGATGTTGCCTGGATTTATTTATTCCCTGAAAGTTGTAGATTTGGTTTGTCAAGTCATTCTTCCACTGCAAACTCGTGCCTGTCTCGTTCCAAAGCTTTAGCTGTAGATTCAGCGGAGTGTACAGTAACTAGTTCTGGCGTGGAGGACGCTATTTAAATCCAAGTTGTTGTTGTAGTTCCACCTTGGGCATCTTAAGTGAAAAATCGCGGGTGAACGACGTGGCAGTTTATCTGTGGTTTCCTATATTGTCAATCCAAAAACTAGCTCCATCAACACCGAAAGGAGACAACACCACATTAACGGTCCATGCATGTAAGCTCAACTGATAGAAAGCTATCCATGGCTGCCTAGTCATGAGGCCCAACATACACACTCTATACCTTTTTTCATATCTGTCACATGCTCATGGGTTTCATCTGTTTCTGTTGTCAGCAATGTCTGACCTTGCAGCCGGTGAATGATGGTGGCTTTTAGCCCTTCCATTAGCCTTTCATTGGCCTGTGGGTGCACTCTGACAAGAGAGTGAGAGGCTATCACAACCATCAATGTCCGTTTACCAACAAGCAATTTGCAATTGATTCCTGGGAATGTTAAGCCACAGAACTAGAATCCGTTTGAACGTACAGTTTTTTCTTCTTCTTCGAATCCAAGTTTAGGAAATCTTCTTGGGAGATTTTTGGCTTGGGGTTCAGGAAGGAGTAGATGTGAATATCAGCAGAACTTCCTCCAGTCATACTTCTTGCTGTTCCACTTGTTGTAGGTTGAATCAATGTCAATGTCCCTTGAACATGTGCAGTGACACAGCTGGTAAAAGAGATCAATCTTTACCTGTATTGTGGTAGATACACCTCCTGCCTTTGGTTGGTTGATAGTACCAGATTTCTGATGAATCTCGTTGCTTTCAGGAATGTAATTTTGATCAGCCGGGTGTCTGAGACATACATAAACCCATCACCATGCTTAGGAGTATCCAAACCCAAATCAGAGTTCCCCAAATGTTTGCCATATAAACACACAGAGAAATCTCTCCTTTTTCTGAACAGTATTAGGCACAGAACTGCAAGAGCTAAGGTTTGGGGACCCCAGAATGTGCATTCAGGTACTGATGGAGGTTAACCAACTGCATCCCTGGACACAGCACTGTATCCCCATGCTAGAGAGAAGTACAGATCATGTAACTGTACCTCACTTCACTCTTAAAACCATCCTGGTGTCAAACCGGAAAGTGCAATTGACAAGAGAGGCTTGGATGAAGAGGGTTCTTCGGCCCATTCGTTCTCATTTTTAAGTGATGGGAATTGACGGGGAACAGAGCAATTCTAAAGAATGACTTCAGGTCACTTTTAACTCTAACCAGCCTGATTTCTTGGGTAAGGACTCGATGACTATTGGGGTGAAACATTTGCCAACACTTGTGATGTTATCACATTTTACATTCCGCCACTCCTCCCCATAGCACATAGCTATGTCACTACGTGCAAGAAGAAAAAATTCCATACTTTAAATTCTGTTACCATCTCCCCTATGTATCGCATGTTTCTGAAGAGGCCCAGTAACATTATCAATGTTTATTTTGCTGTGAATAACGATTAAACTTCCTGATTTCTCTCAGGTAACTTTTCTTTTGAAGAGTAAATTTGACCTTGCATGCTGCCCGGACACTAAGAGCTTTGGATCTAGAAATAGGTTACATTTTACTTTGTGCTTCTGATTTTTCTGCAAGAGTTAGGTGTATCTTATTATTATTAATATTATTATTATCTTTTGTGAATTCAGTGTCATACTTAGAACTGCCAGGAACGTTAAATAGTAGTAGTGTCTATTTGGGTTACACTGTTAAGAATTCATTACAGCATTATGTGATATGGTGCTGAAATAGGAGACTTTTTCTTTACGCAAGGATGATGAAGTTTAGTCACTCAGTGAACTCAGGGCCTGATAAGAGTGGTGTCTGCTGGTGAGGTTCATTTTTTACAAGGCCATCTGTATCCATTCAAGAAAAGCTAGGTTCTTTGACCAGTCATTAATCAGAATGAAGCTGATAGAATGTTCCCTTGATGAGAAAGGAAAGACAAAAGAAACCGAGATGTTAATATACTTCACTCTGGGGTTAAATGTCAGTCCTGAGGTAAACAAACCAATGACGAAATAATATACAGAAGCATCAGGATTACACGTGTGTTTAAGAAATCACTGTCCCGTTTGCTGCTATCAATGTTGTTATCATGTATTTGTCTTTCTTTTAACTCACGTGTAAATCAGTTTGAACATTACTGTTTTCTCTTCATTTCGTTTCTGACACTGTTTTCACATCCTTATCACTTGTTTGTGATTGATTCGATCGTTTGCTTCTCATCATCGACAGAGCATTTCATCCCCAAATTTCCTTTTAATAGTTTATATTTTTATCACCTCGAAAGGTCTATTTAATTTATGGGGTGAACAGGAGAGGGTTCCTCGTGAACATGAGTAAATTGCCTTTTATTGCCTCAAACTTGTCCTCTTCTATGTAATTTGATCATTTTTATTTCTGCGCTTTTAACTCTTGAATTTTTGCCTGCTTCACTTTTAGTGAGACATTTAGCATCTTAATTTAATAAAATGTATATGCTTGATTACACGATACAAGTGTGATTTATATATTTAATTGCACCAATCTCTTGCATGTAAATCAATGTATTTATTCTAATGGCTTCACATGAATTAAAATAATAAGTTTAAAGCAAAGGAAAACCAGTCTGAATTGTACATCCAGTGACTAATTTCTTCCATTTGAGCAAGGTTTACCTCATCTTCACCCTCGGGACAGTCTGGTAAAAGACTAACATTATGATTTAACCATGATTTAATTATGATTTCATTTTTATTTTGCAAAGCTGCATTATAGTTTGTGAGGAATCAGCCTACTGATAAGATAACAATGATGACATGATCATAAGTGAATAACTTGCAATTGCAGAAGACCTCTAAAATGCACTCAATAAACACTAAGCACCATTAAAGGATTAGTATTAGCCTGATAGAAGCCTTGATTAAGTACGAGGTAAGCAATGGTACACAGTAAATCAATGTCTTTCTAGATTATTATCCTTTGGATCATGTCAAGCTTTGCCCATCTCCATACCGGTGCTATGTTCCTGCGAGCACATGTATGGTGTTAAAAGGTTAACACTTGATTGACAGCTTGCCCTTAACCACTTTGCTGTAGAGGTCATTACAAAGCTGATCATTTAGGTTTGAAGCTTTCATCTTTCACAGAACATAAGTTCGTTTGGCATTCACTTGGAAGGAGAAATCCTATATTTAAGTAAGCTGAGTGATTAGCAAAAGCACCAATTCTACCAGCATCCACTATATCAGGCCGCAAAAGTTGAGGGAAATAACTGTTTTATATCTTATTGTTTTACCTGAAATTATTTTCTGAAATGCCATATCATGACTGTTACAGTGATCAATATCTGATACAGATGATCAGTCCCAAAACAAGACTGAATTAACTCAATGAGCCGTCCCCTTAGCAGGACTCAATTACATTTTAATTTAAAATGCTTGTTTAATTGGATTAAAGTGTATATGCTACAGATTTAGACAGCTGTGAAATATTGCCCTCCATCATTGAGCTGAGCAACAATGACCAACCAATTCTTAACGACATTAACTCGCCCGAGATGAAAGAGAGAGTTCTTTAAAAAGAAATCATTGCACAGTTGACAATTACAAAGCACTTTTCCCGCAGCAAGTTTCCACCAGTGTGTACCATGCAATGACTTCACCTTCTGACACAGAGGAAGCCCAATGAAAGTACAGACATGATGCAGCTGGCCCAGGCAATTTCCATTGGCAAAGCATTGGTGTCTGAGCACAAGCCTCTGCATCAAACAGCCGAAAGAGCTACTACTGTAAAAGCAGTATTAATTGCACACATTAATCATAGGCATTCGGGTCATGGAGGTGAGTGGAGGGTGAGGATAAGTCAAGAATTTCTGCCATGAATTTTCCTACGTTATTTTTTCGGGTTGCTTTTTCTCAATGAAAGTTGCTGACGGAAAGCCAGGGCTTTTTCTCCTCTGCTCCGCCCCCCGCCCCCCACCACTATTTATTTTTAAAGGAGTCATATTTCTTAGAGTTAAGCTTTTATTACATCAATGGGCACTCACAAAATAGGATTTCAGAACTGTTTTGGACTTGGATCAGGTTTGCGATTAACTTCTGGTTTCTTTCACAACTCCAAGAAGGTTATTACCTCCTTGTTTTTTTTTGCTCTGTTCTTAAATTGATACTGATTGTTTTTCCACTTATTCTATGCTGTCCAACTTACTTCCAAATACAGTAGTGGCCGACCAGCAGATGCTGACGACTTAAGTCCCAGTAAATGGAAACTGCAATCAAAGCGCGGACAAATAAATAAACTCATGAAATGTAACTTTTCAAATAGAAGCTGCAATTCATAAGATCACAAGGTTACGTGTTCATGAACGTGCAAAGTTTTTTTTTATGTCGTACTCACGTCAGAATTACCAATCCAATTCAAAATCAAGCAGCTCTGAGTGAAAAAATGGTGTACGGTGTTTCGAGATGTCCCTTAAAGTGAAGGGTGAACGTACCTCAGTATCACATCATTTCTGTGTTACAGTTATTACACAGGACAAACATCTGCACAACATCTTTCATCACTTTTCCAAGAATGTAAGTTGTGAATTTCTTGTGGATCTTCGAAGCTGAAAGTCTCAG